TATTTTTGTATCCCACCCTGTACGGTGTCTCAGGGCGGTAATAACATAGGTAAATAAGACACAGCATAGCAGTAATACGATACAGCATAATAATCACAATAACAATTTGAAGCTAAAACCTAACTTGCTATAAATCACTGCAGTCTTCTGAGTAATGTAAACTGTTTTTTCCAAGACTGTGAAGACTGTACTAACCATGTATTATGTAGGTGCAAATCTTAAAAAGTCTGGTTTTACCAATGAAGAATGCAAAATCTCAGGAAGTAAAGGGAGCTTTCCAGTTCTGATAATGATTTTTTAAAGGATGGGACATGGACTTGCTCCCATGAAGGAAAAAACAAATAGGAAGGAGTTCTAATTCTGAACTTAAATGAAGATTTGAACCCTCAAAACGGATAGGAAGCAAAAGCTATTATCTCTTACCCCCAGTTGCCTGAAAAAATAGAGATGTTGCAGGAAGACTTGGCTTATTGTATGTTCAGTGGGATGTTGGATCTTCTGTGTGATTGCTTAGAATAGAGTAATGCATCATGCATGATGTGGCCAAATTTGAGGATAATTTTGAAAAGAAAATTTGGCACATAACAAATCTGTGCTTATTTTTCTTGCATTACAATATAGCTCTTGGTTGCTGAATAAGCTACTTGCTGTATTCTGTACATTCCTCTGAGAGGCTTGTTGCGGCATTGTTGTGATGAAGCCATGGTAACAAGAAGAATGAAAACGTCAGTAGACAGAATCAAGTTATGGGTGAAAGTGGCCAACATGGAAAACAGTCTCACAGTCAAAGTGATAAAACTGCTAAGCTCAGTCGGCTCTCAGGCAGACAATGACAATGGTTGAAAGTTTATTCTCTAATCAGTTTTTATACATTCCTTTTTGGAAGTTGTGCCACTATGATATTAAAATATTCATGTGCTTTGAGACTAGTTTATTTCTGAGCATTATACATGACGTTCATTATACATACCCCCCAAATCAAAGGTATGATATAAACATGCTAAATAAAATAAACACTTGTGGCTTAATCCTTGATCATTGCAGGATGGGCAGGATCAGATGCCCTTGCATGAGTGCAGCATCACAGGAGTTTCATTGCTACACAAACGGAACAGGTGTAGTAATAGCCATTTTCTATTGTGGACAAAGAAAGGGTGTCACAGGTCAGAAGGGGCCCTTTCCTTGTAGGATTGGTAGTATAGTATGAAACAAGTATCAAATGCCATGACTGGGCAGTTCCTTTGCTTTTATAGAGGATGGAAGATTGCCTCTCGTAAGCTGATAGTGCCAGAAAAATGAAGAAAACCCACTATGCATTTACTGGCCCCAGCAGTGCCTTTGTCTATCCTGTATGTGTGCTTTCTGGAGGTGAGAGAACATCGACAGAAAGAGTGGGGTAGGAGTGGGAGGTGAGCCCTGTATGCAACTACCATATCTGTGTCCTTTTGTTAAACAGGGAAATGAAGGTTGAGTATAGGACTTGATTAGTCTCTCAGTGATTATAGAGCCAAGACAAGAAGGAAGTCATACATACAGTACAATTGTCATTGTGTTGCTACAGAGTAACAGTTTGCTAACAACATGCTGAGCCCATTTTGCTTTCCAGTTGAAAGTTCAAATCCCTATATGTGAGACAAACATTGATTTAATCACTGTGGTGTGCACCCTCCAGGTATACACATGACTCTTTCTCTATTAGCCTGACTCTGTGTAGTACATTAAAATTGCATCCAGGAGACTAAATAAGTGACTAATATTAACCTTTACTTAATGTTTCAGTTACTTTTTCATATACCACCATGAATGCTTTATTGTCCTATCTCTTCTGTTGCTTGTAGTTCCTCATTCTTCACTATATTCTAGAATGAATCTGCCTGTTAACACCAGTGACTAGAGATGGTAGAGCCACACACATGAGCCTGAGGTCTTTTGGATATTGTTGGACTATGTTTTCCATGAGTTACACCCAGGATAGCTAGTTGTCATGGATGATGGGAGTCCCAACAGTATCTGGAGGGCCCCTGACTTACCACCCCTAGTTTAAACTTTCATTGGTTGTATTAAGGCTTACTTATGCTTAGAGTAGACCCATTGAAATTTCTGGGTCAGTGTTGGTCATGATTAACTTGTCACATTAATTTTAGTAGGTCTGCTCAAAGCATGACTAAGTCTGGATCCAACCCAAAGTCATTTTCTTCACCAGAGTTCTTTCTCTCTTACGATTATATTCTTGTCTGTGAACTGTTGCCTGTTAAGTCCCTCCCTTGTGTCCCACCCTCTTCTGCCTGTTTGTGTGAAATAATTTGCTGTTAGCCTACTTTTTGTATTTGTTTTTGTTTCAATCCTTCAGTAGTATATACATCATTTATAACTGTAACTATTTTGCATCCTTATTGGCCTTAAAATGCAACTGAACCATGAAGAGTTATAGCAGTGTTAACTTTTATATGTTACATAAAAGATATACATGCTGAATTGCATATTTGCATGAAATTGCTTATCAGTATTAAATAAGTAAATACAAGGCCACTAGCTAATGTTTTTAGCCTAAATAGGGTCCAGTGGGAAGACATTGGCCTTCAGCTTCTAAAAAACCCTTTGAAAAAAAGTTCTTTCTTGTAACTGTTTCCTGAAGTACTTCTGCTGGAGGACACTTTTCTTACAAGGTGAAAGAAAGAATTAAGAGGTGTTATCTGTTCTTGTGCCTTTAAAATGACACTCTCCTAATCAACTCCTACCATCAAAAAATGTTCTGACAGTACATTTACTTGTCCATCCACTGCAGTGTGGTCAGTGTTGGAAACTAGCCAGTGCCAAATCAGTACTTATTTTTAATTCTAACAGTTCCCAGTTGTGTTGCCTATTTTGATCGTTGCACATGCTTTAACATGTTTAAAGTTCTTTGTTTTGCATATTAAGCTATTGAGCAAGAGGCTCAAACCATTTACAGTAAGCCCTTTCTTCTATACCTTAAAATATTAGAAAGGAGCCAGATTTCATGAATTTTTGCTACTGTATTTTCATTTTTGATGTGGGAGAAAATTTCATTGAACACCTAAGAAAAATCACATGACAATCTCTCAACACTAGCCACTGTGGTTCAGCGGTTAGAATATTGACCTCAGACTTGGGAGACTGCATTTCTAGTCTCTAGCTATGAAGCTCTATCACTGGGTGTTTTTGGCTAAGTCACATTCTTATCTTAACCTATCTCACAGGGTTGTTGTTTGTGAGGATAAAATGGTGAGAGGAGAACTTTGGAAGGAGGAAGAAAGGCAGGATATAAATGTAATAAAATAGTATTAGGTTTTCATCTAAACTCATAATTATGATTCTGTGTAGACTGTATTAAAGCTCACAAAGACTTGGCATGGGGGAAATAAACAGTCCCTGCTTTGGCTTAATTTTTATCTTTTAAATGAAAACATTTTAAGCTTTAAAAGTTGTAAAGAGATACTTGAACATTCAGGTAGTAATTTCCATTAGATGCATAATGCATGGATATGTGTGGGTGTATATGTGTGCATAGATCTAAACTGTGCACATGTATGGGTTGTGCATTTATATTTATAAGCAAATTACACATAACTTGTTTTTATCTGGCCTTGGATCTTAGTGTGAAAGCCAACAGTAGCTTTGTTACATTCCTGTTACTCTGCTTTACAGCTGCGTGCTCACATGCATGAATGGGACTTAGCAAATGGAGGTGCTCTGCTGAGGTGTAAGGAGAATTCTGGCAATTCTGGTTGCTGCTCATACCACAGAAACCATGTTGAAAAGCTCTGTATCTGGGGATTTGCACGCTCAGGAGAAACTGGCTGAAACAATTAGAGTTGAGGTGAGGGCTTTGCTGGGAGATGAATGGAAAGCCCTTGAGGATGAATTGATTGAGCCCCTAGGCTGTGAGTTGATAACCCCTAGCTCAGAGTAGCCTTACATACCCAGGACTGAATAATTAGCTCATATTTGTTGGCACTTGTGACTTTTCTTGTTTTCTCTCACTGAATATACTATAGTTGGTTCAAGTAGAACACCTGAAAAATCAACAGAAATATAATTTTGTCTTAAGCACAAGTTTCTAGAGTTTTGGTGATGTAGTACTAGAACTAGATCATGAGAGGCTGGATTGTCTGTTGTGAGTGTGATACTGAGGAGCATGAAGAATACAATAGGAAATAACAGGAGAAAGAATTGTATCAGACTTTCTCCACTCTTTACTAGATGTAGAATTATGCTACTTATTTTAATTTTAAAATATTTATATCTCTTATGTGAATTCAAACTGTTTTTTGATGGTGGAACATTAATCCTGCTTTGCAGCCTTCTTTCCACTTGCAGTAAGGGCAATTGCATTTTTCCACATACCAACTGGTCCCCATCCCAGTCCTTTACTCAAATTTCTACATTACTGCAGTATCATAAGAGCTGCCCCCTCCCCCACATACTTTGGTAAAACCTGTATGCAGAAACCACATTGGTGGGTAGGTTGACTTTGTTCATTCCAACCTGAATACCACACAGTGGGATTTGAAATAAACAGAGTTCACCTTGGAAGAAATTAGTGGGCTAGAGAAAAACAGGTGCCTTTTATCTCCTTATTCATGTACACTAGAGAAACTGGGGGATTGTAGAAGCTTGTGGCTAAATAATTTCTGTTCAATAGTCTTATTTGATAATGGTTTTTACCTGTCATTGGCCCACTTAAGAACTATTTTAACAAGAGAATTATTTAACACATTCTCAAATTTGTATCTTGACCTAAGGGTTCCAGTTGTTGGGGGCTTTATGACAGATCATGCTTGTTTTGTTAATGATTTAAGTTATGTATTTTGATTTTGAAGCATAACAAAATACTTTATCAGATCACTGTTTGGTCTTGCTTGCCTGAAGGTAGTTTTAAAATTAACTCTGCTGTGCATGTTTTATTACTTTAATCTGAATATGGTTAGCATGTGACTTTTCATATGCTGTTAAGCAAGCCGTGTGTATTTCTTTTTTAGGATTCAGTGGTCGCAGTTCAAAGGCTATTTTATTTTCAAATTGGAGAAAGTGATGGATGACTTCAGAACTTCTGCTCCTGAGCCAAGAGGCCCTCCTAACCCCAATGTGGAGTACATTCCCTTTGAGGAGATGAAAGAACGCATTCTGAAAATAGTCACTGGCTTTAATGGGTATGCAGTCTTAGATCAAACTTTACTTGTTGTTTGAATCATGTGATTTATTATCAAATTTAGGCATTCTATTTCTGACCTTCATATTGTACTGACTTTCTGCCATATGTGCTACAAAATGAAAAATCACTATAATTATTTGTTGGCAAAGTTCAGAGTATTGTCATAAATATGAAAATCATTGGCTTACCTTCTCTTACCTCAGATCATGAGAAGGGGTGATACTTTTCAAAGCTTGTTTCTTATAGTTTGCATTACAGCTTTTTAATAGCTTAACTAGATGAGTAAGTTCCAATTAACCATGTAGTGAGGAAAACCATTTGATCTACTGAGGGAGCAGTCATATGGTTCCTGGATGAGCATTCTAGGGGACTGTAGGATAGATCAGAAAAAAAAAAAAAAAACCTGATACTGGAGACTGCTGTGACCTCAGAAGGGCAAGATGAAGATTCATCCCTACCCCTTGCTGCTAGTATGGACAGAACTGCTCTGGCTTCCTCTCCAGGGTTGAAAAATTAACTCCAGAGAGAGGAAGAATGACATTTTGATGCACTGGGAAGGGAGGAACCTGAAGAAGCTAGAAGGTTTATCTGAGCCTCCTCCAGGCTCCTTCTCCTCACCTGATATTCTGATTTTCTCCCCCCCCCCCCCCCTTCCCATTCTAAGTGCAAATGTTGCTTCTGGAGTTCAGTTAACTTTTCATTTTAATGGTTAAAAAACATTTTTAAGACATGCAAATTCAGATACAAAGGAAGGTTACCTGCCATTAAGAAATCAGGAGCATGCTTATAGACTGCATGTCTCCTCCCCTTTGTTGTTGTTACATGCGGATAAGTCCTCTCTGGCTTATGGTGACTTATAAATGAACGCTTTCCAGAATGTCCTATCCATGTCAGCCCTACTCAAGTCTAGTAAAACTCTTTCCCTAACCTATGGTTAAACAGTTTGTCAGCATCATTATTAACCACAGTTTAGGTTAAGCCGGTCTCTCCTGTATCCCAGTATGTGAAACCACTTTTGGACCATGGTTTCAGTTCCTGGTTAAAATCTTAATGTCATTGCCAACAAGTAATGTAGCCGTGGTGAAGGATAGAAAGGAAGGGTTAATATGCTGTGTGGAGGCAAGGCTGGATTTAGCTGTTTAAACAGAAGTTTCCTTTGCTTGTTTCTGCTGTTACAGTTATATCAACCAAAATGCAAATGCAGGCACATAAAAGAAAGATATTAAAATAGGAGACTGTAATCAAAATGAAAATCCCAGGCATCTTTTAGAGATCAGTACACCACATCATACAATAAATATAAACTAAGGCAACATATTTAGCTTAAAATACAATTAAATACAATGAATATTACTTAATTCTTTAAAACCATCAAAGTAAATCCTTACAATTCATCATATTGGCCTCAGCGAAGCTTCTCTTCAGCATTTGGGTGGTCACTGTAAATCTTATGTCATGAATCTTTCAGAATTGGATAGAAATATATAATCTTAGCATGGTCACCATTAGCTATATCCCTTAGCAAATTCAGAGTACATTTTACCCTAGGCTCAGATTGCAAAGAACAGTATCATAAGTAATGCTTGAGTTCTGCATATGCAAAATCTCTGACCTATAGGGATTTTTTTTAACAATAGCATCCTTCTAAATATTGTGAACACATAGACTGGAAATGGAACACCAGGAAGGAACTAACTGGCAATGCATATTTTAAAAAATCAAATTAATGAATTTCAGAAATGCAATGTGCGGGGGCAGTGAGTTCTAAATTGTCTCTAGATCTTGTTGGGATGAAAGAGTTCATAATTTATTCTTTATGTATTTATGCATCTGATCTAGAGCCTATTTCTTAAGAACCCTGTGCATTAGATAAAAAAACCTAACATTTGCTGCTCACAGTTTGCTACTGAAGTGTCCTGTCTGAAGTTTCAGCTGGTCCAAAAAACATTTTGGGGGAACATATCCATGATATAAAATTATAGTGTCATGCTCCCAACATGTTCCCGTGTTCCCTAACATTGGCTGAAGAGATAGAGTGAGCTAAACCAAGTAATTATTTAATAAATTTATTTTGAGTGGGTTCTAAATGGATTATTTTAGCCAGTCCCTGGGTTGTCTCTCCATAAGTCAGTTATGGGAGCACTTTGCATGGATATACTCTTAGGGCAGAAGTGATCATATTACTGTCTTTAGTTCTAGTGAAGCTCAAGACTGTTGATGAGGATCATGACATGTGCAAAATGGAGAACTGCCCTGAGAGCTTTGGCTAGAGTGGCATAAAAATGTAATAAATAAGGCTGCTTGTGGTATGTTCATCTGGTACTTGAACAGCCTGAATTTTGTGTATACCAGCAGTCTTAATTGCTGTAACACATTGGGTGCTACCTTGATCATTACTGGACAGCTTAGGTTAGATAGATATTTGTGGTCTGTTGAATCCAGGTTAAAGTGCTCTTCTCAGTCCAGTCTTCTCAGATTGTGGAAATCACACACTAGTGTTAAATTCTTCCACTATACTGGGACTTTAATGATAGGAGTGATGGCTACCATGTCAGAGCTTATGAAACAAAAATGGAAAACAGCCTCCTAGGTTGCCAGTTCAGCAGATCCAGAAACCAGAAAATTTCATTGCAAATTCTAAATAAGAGCCCAGTGGTTTAGCTGTGTTTTGGAATTGTTAACCAGTGTTATTTATTGAAGAATGGATCTTATGACATCCCAGAATACTTAAACTCATAAATACATGTGCCTTTATTATTAAAAATGTGTTGTTTTGCTTTAGTATGTTAAATGGAGTGCTTAAGCAAAAGCACAAATGTCTAAAATAGTATTTAATCTTGTAAATAAAGTTATACTACTAGCCTAGAAGAAGAATAAAATATTAGTAACTGACAATGGGCCTTTCTATACAAGTAAATATGGTAGATTAGATCCAGCCATTTCCTTGCCAGTAAGAACATTCCCTTGGCGGAGTTGCTCAGTATTCTGTGAGATGTTGGGGAATGTGTTCTTTGATTTCCCATTCTCTAACAACTACCAGCACCACTTCCTGTGCCATTCTAAAGGGTCTCCAACCATATAGGATAGATTTGGATGGGACATAGAGACTACAGGGAAAGTGGAGAATTGGTGAAGATTGCTTCTCCTTTGTTCTCTCAGCAGAAAAGCTCCACTGGACCCAAAAACTTCCAAGGGTGTGTTTTTGCGTCCAAGCCTATGGGCCTGTGTCTAGTTTGGTCATGAAAAGTATTTGATGTTCTTTTTACAGTCCTGCCAAAAATCTAAAAAAACATTAGTTACTCAAGGGATTTGGGGTGACATTGTTCCATGTACCTTAATAATTAGTCAGTACTCACTGGATAATTATTATATGCTTTAGATGCATATACTTAAAAATACCTAGCTTTAGATAGGCATATCTTGTTTCTGCTAAGCATATTTCAAATGATTTGTACAGTGGAATTTAGATGAGACAAAGCCACATTTTCTTTAGTTTTTCTTTTGGTTGGAAGTAGCTGATAACTACGTCTTTTATCCCAATTTAAAGCATGATAGCTTTTGAATTCCAACATGTATCAGCCCCTCTATTGTGTCAACTGATTAGGGGTTCTGAAAGTTATAATCAGTGATAAGTGTTTTCTAGAAGAATTTTCACTGGATTTTTTGTTTGTTTGTTTGCAACTCCCATCCCTTAAAAATGGCTGTATTGACTGTAACTGATGGGAGTCACAGACCAAGACATCTTTGTTAGGCCACAGTTTGCCTCTGACTACTTTGTAGATAGCAAATGGATTGGTGTGTTATGCTTATATTAAACAAACAGTGAAACTAAACAAATACTCCATGTTAATATTTTATCCCAAGAACCACAATTGTTTGACTTTGAAATGCTTGAGGGTATTGAAAGTACAAAATGTGATGTGAATGTTGTATTTTGTAGAAATTGTTAATATCATACTTATAAAAATGTAAAGATCATAAAGTAAGACAAAGGTACTAAAAACTGTTGACACTGAGAACTGTTGATGATGCCCAGACAATCACAGATGAGTAGAGTTCATTTCACTTCTTCTAAAGTTGTTGGGACACCTTTGGTTTCACTGTCACTATTATTTCTGTTTCACTCTGAGATATACATGCATTTCAATGATACATGTATGGCGTCTTATCCTCATTAGACAAAGCCACCCTCTTAAAACTATTAATTGCAACTTTGAAACTGCAGAACTTTCCCAATATTTTATTTGAAGTTGGCATACATTCAGTTTTATTAATGACCTTAAAAACCATAAATTTTTCTGCAAACAAACTAAGCAGTGGAAAATTTTCCATTTGGAAAAAAATTCTGCTGGAATTCCCCCCCCCCCCATTACTGGTTATAGTCCAAAACATCTGGAGACATCCAGTTTATACTTTTGTGAAGTTACGATAGCATTCTGCTGGCTTTCCATGACACTTCAAGTCCAAATTCCAATGTTTTCCCAATTAGTGCTTTTAAAAACTGTTCTGGGAACTTTGTGCTGCTTTGGGGAAGCTATAAAACACACCTTGTAATATTAGTAAATTGCAAAACGTCTAGGTTCAACCCCTAGAAATTATGTCCTTTGGAAATGAAAGTGTAAAATCTCAGGAAAAAAGTTGTTTTGGCATTGCACCCACCCCCACAACCATGGGTGAAAGAACTTGTGTGTCACCACTATGAAGTCTTCTGTTTTCATTGTCTGTATAGCCTAAGTTGGGTATTTCAGGTAATCTTATGTACTAACCCTCCAATTTCTTCTTGAAACTCTGAGAATACTGGTTTTTATTTCCTCAGCTCAGCCACAATAAAAAAAAACCTGGACTTTTGTTATCTATACTGTATAAACCTTTTTGTTTTGGTTGTGATACAGTTTCTCCAGAGTGAGATGTCCTGCCCCATCACTGGTTAGTTTCAGAAGGGCAGGAATAGAATAATGGTATTACTCCAGTGAGCACTTTTAAAGGCATTGTTAAAGTTATTCCCTACTGTCTGTTTAGATCCTAGTACCAAACATCTAGCATTTAAAAATGTTACTGTAAATTGCTTGAATGTATTTTATATAGAAAGTAGAGGTATAAACTAACATGGAACAGAACAAGCATAGGCTGGAGATTAATGAGCATCTGGGAAGGATGCTTTGGGTAGCTGTGGAAGGGGGGGTATAGGGCAGTTCAAGAAAAGAGCGATCAGGCTACATAAATTGATATTTGAGGAGTATATTTCAGATGGGGAGAGCAGTATTGCAGCAGCTATGGATGTTGGACTCTGAGCGTATGAGATAGATGGCAGACTTGTGCAGGACAGAATGACAACAGCTTGCATGAGGAGTCAAGGGAAGAAGGGTAAAATGAAGCATTTTTGTTTACTCAAAAACATTTCTAGACCTCATGCTTTGGGAAAACTATGCCTTTTTGCCAAACGTTACGCATCCTGTTCTGAGTTATGATTACATCTCTCACTGAATTCAGCAAGAATTGACTTTAGAAACAGATGACAGGGAAACCCTTGATCAAGAGATTGGATAGGTTCATGTATCACAACCCTCCTTGTGATGAATAATCCATGCTGAGTTGGTTGTTCATTGAACAACCCATGGTACTCCTAAAAGACAATTGTTCTCGCCTTGGCTTGTTCACACATTTCCCCCAGTCCTCCCAGTAGCTCTGGCACATATCCCAAGCATGCCTTGTTACCTTGGTCCCTCTGCCTAGATTTGGCCTGCCGGAGTTGCTGGCAATTGAGTGTAAACTCCACTCTGTCAGATCTCCCAAATGGAATTAATTTTCAAAGCCCTTTCGTAGTGTTGCCAAATTATTTTTCTGTGAATTTCACTGTTGCGCAATACTAATTTTCTGTTACTTAGTCCAGCATGCTGATCTCTCCCTCTCCCTCCCTCTCTCCCTCTCTCCCTCTCTCCCTCTCTCCCGTCAAATGTCCTATTCAGTTTCTTCCTCCATTTTGGGAGTTGCCTTTTAAAATATTGCTTCACTTTGCACTGAAGGACTTTATTGCACCTTCTCTCCAATTATTTTTGGCTCTTCCCCTTACCTTCCTGCTTCTCACCTTTCTCTATTGCTAGCTCTCACTTATATATACCTTCAAGTAAAATCCCCTACTGGCAAATTACCTTCTTTACAGCTGCTTCTGGCTTCCCACACCCTGGCTTGTTACTCTGTTGCTAGGTTCCAGTTACTTATATTTGAAATTTTTAGGGGCACAGGGTGCTTCAAAGAGATGAGGAAGGGTGACGGTGGCACAAGTGAGATTGTGCAGAGCAAGCGGGCAGGGGAGTTTTGCCATTGTAGTAGTGGGCAGGGTTATCTAGCTGATCCTGAGGATAAAATTGTCCTGCTATTTTTAGATGACACAACAAACCTTCATGGATATCAACAACCCTAACAAGCTATGAATTTCCTGGGTGTCTTGCTTGTGTGAAGTAAGCCACCCTATTAAAAAATGTTCTGGATTTACTCAACGTGTCAGCCTACCATAGCTGACATGGTAGGTTATGTCATGTAAGTTGTCTGTTTTTCTGACCGACTGAGCAGCTACCAGTATGTGATAATGAGTTATTTGAACTTTTTTGCTTTCTTTGAGCCTCAGAAGGCACTTTAGGGTGAATCAATTGCCTACGCAGGCAATTCTGTGATGCTGCAGCGCCATCTACTGTTCATTGACTCCAGTATGTTTTTGAGGTACTGAAAGGAAAAGTGTTAAATTCATGTGCAGTTAAGTATAAAATAGTGTACAAAATGATTAGTGTTACTCTTTTTTCTTGCAATTAAAATTAAAATTTAACTTGTTTATATTTTATTTCAGTATCCCTTTTACTATTCAGCGACTCTGTGAGCTGCTGACAGATCCAAGGAGGAATTACACAGGAACAGACAAATTTCTCAGAGGTGTAGAAAAGGTAATAGCTGACTTCTGGTTGAATTGTTGCTCAACTAAAATTGTAGCTGTGCCATTTAATTTCATAGAGATGTTGTAGTAAAGAACCAACAACTATTCTACTTAACTGGAGTGCTTGTCTTTAGCAGTTTTTCAGAGATTTTTTAAATAATTTGCTTTCTGTTTGTTAGATTGTGTAATTTGTTTCATATGGACTACCCCAGGCACACACATGGTAGGAAAGAGGTTACACTTGCCTTGGCAGTGGTGGCTTTCAGCAGCAACCCGTGAAACCCCAGGGGTATAAGTATGAACTAGAGCCATTTTTTCCTTGCCCATGGAACTGGACAAGGTGTCCAGGTGTGCTTTTCAATAAGAAACATACCCCAGATGTAAGCTTATTTTATACATTAGAAAGACATCCTAATGTTGTGTGCTGTGGTGCTTCTCTCCTCACCAGCTGGCTGAGTTGTTACATCACATAACTTAAAGGTTATGTATTGATATCTGTATGATTTAGAATTAGAAGCCAATAAATTAGAACTAGAAGCCAAGACCAGGGATGTAGGTGGATAAAAGGCATGCAGATGGGCTTGGGAATGTCCCATATGAAGCTCAGGGGGGTGCTGTGTGCTGCTTGCAGGAAGTGAGGAGGGAAAGAAACAGAGAATGGGAAGCAGATTAGGAGCTGAAGGCAGCAGGACACTATAGGAAGGCTAAAAGGGGAACACCTGAGGAAATGTGTGGAAGATGATGTAGGATGCAGAGAAGAGGGTGCAAGATGACTGACAGGGGAAGGAATTGGGTGCCCAGGAGAGTGCTTTGCATAGGGTCTAGATTGATTTTACTTGCTGTTTTGAACTAACTAGTTAAACATTTGACTGCAAGCTCCTACTTGAAACAGTATGTGCTTTGCAAATTCTGTTTGACATGCCGGTATGATTGATTACACTTTTTTCCAGTGTGCTTCAATAAAAGATGCTGCTCAGGAAGACCCCATGCTATTGGCCATTTGGGGAAGAGGTAGTATTCTGCCCCTTGCTGAAAAAACACCTCCTGATATTTATGTGATCTTCTCTTGTCTTACAGAATGTCATGGTTGTCAGTTGTGTGTATCCATCATCAGAGTGAGTATGACCTGTGCTTTCCTTAATTTAAAATAATAAGTCTTTCACTGTTTTTGCAATTGCTGCACTTTGGGAAAGATGGTTACTGGCGGCAGTGCACAGCTACTGACCAGTGTACAGTTGGCAGGCAGTTAAGAAGCCATAATGATTTGCTAACTACACTTTCCATGCCAGTGAACTGCTGAGGTATTTGCATAATTACTCCCTGCAGTGCAGCTTTTCAGGCAAACCCAGCTAGGGTTACTTGTTGCTGTGGGTAACCAGTCACACAGAATCCTGGGTTCTTGTAGGGTTCTGGGTGGCTTGTTAGGCACAGCAAAAAGTCATCCTGGTGGCAAACTGTGCTGCCAAGGGTAATAATAAAAATCCCCCTGGAATATGACTAGCATAAACAGCGTTGTTTGCAAACCACCATGGCTTGTTAGCTGCCTGTGAATTATGAAAATCTAATTTTTGCATCCTATTGGGCAAATTTGCATGTCACACTATGCTATCCTGAGAATGTGCCGTGGGTGGGTGGGTGGCTCATCCATTACTCCCAACAGATGATTGCCTGGTAAGTGGTTTGCTGTATTGTGTCTCTTTCTAAGCCTTTCTTGATCTTCTAGGTGCTGCTGGCACAGACTTCAGGGGGCTTTGTGGCAGAAATCCCTGTTTCCTCATTCCCTATGTCAGCGCCCTTTCTTCATTTGATTCACTGGGGTTGCTAGATCACAAGGGAATCTTCTTGGGCCCCAATCAGAACATCAAAGAAATCTGAATTTCTGAACCCTTCTGAGTGTAGGAATGTGTGTGCAATTTTTTGGGTGATGCTCATGGGCACAAGACCACTTTAGCCTTGCATAGCTATTCCCACCTCTCTGGTGTCTATCGCAGTTTAATCTTTCACTTTGGTGCTTCCCAAGCAAAATTCTTCCTACACCAGGTAACACAAGCATATACACAAATCTGAATGCCTTTACATTTTATTATTTTGGAGGGTCTTGCAGAAGACTGCCCGTCTCTTATTTAGCTTACTGAGATCCTTGCTGCATTATCAAGTTCATCCTTTGCTTCACTGTTTCTCTTTCTAGCAAACACCTTTTTAAAAGGCTCCTTCACTATTCAGTGAATAACACCCACCCTAAAGCACCTTCTCTCCTGTGGGATTGCTAAACCTATGCAAATTTCTTGGCAAAGACATTTGTGCAGGTCTAAAACTTGTGAACATATTCAGTACACTTTCCGGTGTCCTTTCTTTAAGACTTCTGTTAAAAAAAGATTTAAACATTCATCCTGCTGTGGAGGGTGTTGAAAAGGAGTGATGAAGAAGGGTGGTGCCACTAGCAGGGTTGCAGAGAATGGGGGGGTTTTCAGCTCTCTTGACAAGCAGCTCGTGGCTGTTCCCAACAATTCATGATAAATTGCTCTGCTGGGTTTATACAACAAGCTACACTAAATAACAAGCCACTGTTCTTTGTGGTCTCTGTGCATCACACATATGGGCTTTGCACCTGTGCAGGACCTGTTATCAGGAAGCTTCTGTAGTTAAATTTTTGGGCGGGGGTCCCTCCCCTTCCTGTTCCAGGAGAGCATGGGTGAGGCTCCCACCGATCCCTTCAGTTCCTTTTCCACCACTACTGTGCCTAGACTGGGAAGTGCTTCTCTTCCTTGAGTATCGAATGTTCCTTTTTCTGGTTCTTGCTCTTTTCAAACCCCCTCCTCATGTTTCTTCCTCCTTTACAAACTGCTCACTCTTTAAACATATGTGTGTATGTAATTTTTTTCATCTTCATTTTCCATCTTCATTCCTCACATGCTGAGTTACCCTTACTTGCCTTTATTCTCTCCTACTTTCCCCATCTACCTTGATGTTGTCCTCAGTGGCACTTAGGAGTTGCACCACTGCACAGGCCATCAGAGGCTCCTTCCCTCCAATGGTCGGTCACTCTGCCTCCTGCGCCTGGGTGAGGGACATGCTGTGGAGGCCTGCCTGCATTGCCAGGCCTTTACGAAGCAGACCTGGAGTCACCAGACCATTTGCCTGGAGGCCGCTGCCACCACCAAAGAAAGAGTCCCCATCAGCCCTCAACTCTGAGGAACTGCTCAGCCTTTCCCTCCAACCAGTTAAAATCCCCTGCATCAAGGGGATTTCTGCAGTATCAGTGTTAGAAGGGGAGCTCAGAGACCACCCCAGCAGTTCACCAACTTGCCTGCTGTCCTAGGTATCAACATCAACGCAATTGGCATGATCCCGGGAGCCAACACAACCACCAAGACTGGCTCAATGTTGAGGCAATCTGCCTGCACCTCTCCAAGACCAACAGCACCACCCTCAGAGAATGGCTCAACACTGAAATGATCTGTTCATGCCTCTCAGGCATCAACACCACAATTGGCAACTAAGGGCACCAGGGCAGATCCTGCTTTCCCCTCATTTTGAATGGGACTAGGCCTCCTACTGATTGTTGCCACTACATCACTCCTGGGAAGGACCATGCAGAGCATTGCACAAAGGTGACTGGGGGTCTCTGTATCAGGATGACATCATGCCTTGGTACCAAGAGTGTCAACAGCAAGACATCGGTGCTGTGGCACCAACATCGAGGCAACATCCTCATACTGAGCCCAGGTACCACGTCGACATTGATCACTGGCACCATCAGTATAGAGATCCTAGAGATCGAGGACACCATTCCCTCTGTGGAGCTTGATCTACTACACCTTTGATCCAGAGTTGATTGTACCAACAGCCCTGTCTACCTTGTCACCAGATGCGGCTGTGATGTCACAGGACCTGGCATCTGACTTGAAAAAGAGAGGTCACTTTTTGGAGCAGGTCTTCCGGATGGCCAGCTCCCTTGGACTTGAGACAGAACTGCAGCAGCATAAAGGCACTGCCCCCATCTTTGGTGCCCTGTTCATGGAAGACTCTGCATCAGTGGTGGTACCATTCTTGCCCAATGTGTTGTAAACTGTTAGGAAGTCGGGGAAGGCTTCCTCCGTTGCACAGGCCATGTCAAAAAGACTGGAGACTACATACTGAGTGTAGGAAAAGGACACCCCATTCTTTTTCCACCACCCAAAACCTAACCTGGTAATAGTTGAGTCTATGCAAGTGTCCTTCCAGAGGGAGCACATGGCACTGCTGGATGGGGGGCGGTGCCACCTCGATAGGATGGTGAGGCGAGTGTATGCAGCTGTGGCACTCAGCCTTCTGGTCTCTAATTATGAGGCTGCCATAGTCCCAGACCAATTGCTTCAGTGGGACAAGATCAGCCCAGTATGTGAACATATGCTGATGACTGCAGGGACCTGGCCGGGTATTCCATATGGAGGCCTCCAAGCTTATCTTCCAACAGATCTCCGTGGCCATGTTGACTTCAATGCCAAGGCTATAATGGGTGCCGTGGCCATCCACCAACATGCCTGGTTCTGCTCCACAGGACTTTCACAAGTGATTCAGTCCCACATTGAGGACCTCTCCGTTGATGGCAAAGGCCTCTTCAGTGCTCAAACAGATGAGTAGATGGCAGAAAACCAAGTCAACAGCAAGGCACATGGATTTCAGCAGCCAGTGATCAGGCCATGCAAGTGGTTGGCCACATAACCTCAGCAACAGAGGACCTCTGCCAAGCAGCCATCTAGGTTCCAGCCAGCCCTCCTCCAACACTATGGGTAGGCATGCACGTGCCCAGTGGGGGACAAACGTCACTGCTGACTGTTCTTGCTGATGGCCCCCTCCCCCCTTCCCACCACAACCCACCAGATCGAAAAGCTTCTCAGCCTTATGGCCATGACAGTCGCAGTGAAACTCCATATAGGACCTCTCCTAACATGGCTTGTCCACACCTATCAAGCACCAGAGGACCCACATAGCACACAACTGGACATCCCACCATCCATCCAGAACAGTTGTCTGTCAGCATTTGGGACTGGGATATCGACAAGGACATCACTGTCACAGCCATCCACATGACGGGCAAGCGTCGCACCTAGAAGACATGCTCAGTCACATGCGTGAGTGGCAACTGAACACAGTGACTTAGCACAATCTTTGCAACAAGTGAGGCAGAGTTAACCTGTTCAACCTGTTTGCCAAAGCCAGCAACATGACATGCCTGACCTGCTCTGAGGCAGGATGAGGGACCAACTTCCTAGGAAGTACCTTCCTCTTCTGGGGCAGGGAGCCCTGTTCTATGTCCCCCCTCCCCCCACCCCCCAATCATGAGGGTGCTTGCAGTGATAGGAAAGACAGGATGGAATACATCTTCATTGCCCCATTGTGGTCAAGGCAACCATGGTTCACCTGACTCCTCTGACTGTGCCTGCAGGAACTTCTTCTGGCGTCTGTACACCCAGGACTTGATGTCACAAGACAGGGGCCAAATTCTCCATTCTTACAGGGGGACCCTATACCTCGCAGCATGTCAAATCATACCGTAGACCCCATGGAAGACACACTGCCCTAGAAAGTCAGGTCCATCCTTGTTACAGCACTCAAAGCATCCATGAGGTCATACCTGGTAAAGTGGAATACCATCAACATCTTCACGCACCAGGGGCACCTCCACAATACACCCTATTGAGCTCATCCTCCATTTCCTGCAGATGCTCTTCCAATAAAGGCTAAAAATCTGGTGACCATCTCCTACTTTCACCTCCCAATCCAAAGAGCCTCACTCTTTGTGTTACCCTTATCCCACACTTTTTGTGGGGTCTCCAGAACCTGCCCACCCACTATCCGGCCCTGTATGTGTAGCCTCAATCAATGTGTAGCCCTTGATTGTGCTATAGGACCTCCTCAAAAAGCCTTTTGAGCATTTGGCCACAACCGATGCTTGCTTCCTTTCATCACCTTCTTGGTGACTGAACTATGTGCCCTCTGTATAGACTTACCATACCTCACCTTTCACTGAGACAAGATCATGCTCCAACCAAATCCAGCCTTTCTCCTCAAAGTCGTGTCAACCTTCCACCTCAACCAGGACACCCTCCACCCTTTGCTGCCCCTGCTAACCAGATGAAATCCACCCTCCACTTGCTAGACATACAAAGCGTTTTTGCCAGTGATCACTCCAGAGCAAATCATTCTGCCACCTGCCAAGACTCTTTGTCTGCTATGTTAGGCAGAATAAAGGGAACCTGAGCATGTGAGTGGGACTGAAGAACATTGTCTTACTCACATGCTCCCTCACAGTGCACTGGAGCCTTTTTTTAATTATAGGCTCTAATGACAACACTAGTTGAACCCTTGGCAACACTCAGCCTGTAACATACTGTCTTGGAAGGTACCTTCCTGGTGGCAATCCTACTGGCTCACTCCTCCAGTGAGCTGTATGCTTTATGGGTGGACCTTATTTTCTACAGGGATAAGGTGGTGCCAGACCCTTCCTTTCTTCCTAAGATGCTTTCACCTTTTCATTTCAAGCATTATTTTGCCTGCCTTTTTTCTTTCCCTGTCCAGCCCAGTGGAGTCTATGCTACATACCTTGGATCTGTGTAGAGCCACTCCAGGACTGAATCTTTTTGACAGTCACAGAGCTTTTTTGTCTGCTACAGAAGGAGAAATAAAGGATAGTCCAGTCTCCTCTCAGTGACTAGCTTCCTGGGTGGTAGGGACCATATCACTCACGTATCAATTGTTAGAACTGCAACTTCCAGCAACTTCCAGCTTCCAGCATTTGAGACATGATGACATGGCCTGCATGCCAGGATCCCTCTACTGAACCTGTGCAAAGCTACAACCTGATCAACTCCATCAACCTTCATCAAGTGCTACAAGCTTGACATTCATGCCAGATTAGACTGTGATTTCAGAAGAACAGTCCTCTCTCCAGTGCTTTGTTTACAACACCATCCCACTATCCAGGTAGAAGCAAGCGTGCTTGTCATCCATACGTGTGATGCACAGAGACCATTCCAAAAAACAAAACAAAACTTATGTTTATTTGCTTAATGAGAGTAGATAATGGGATTAGAAGTATGTTAATCTCAGGTATAAAGAATACTTGAGTGGGTTTTACAAAGGCTGGAGGTATTCTTTTAATTACTAGAACAGTATAAAAGTCTTACAACACTGTCATTTCTTGTAGGAAAAATAATTCCAATAGTTTAAACAGGATGAATGGCGTAATGTTTCCTGGAAATTCACCAGGCTATTCCGAGAGGTAAGAGAAAATGCTTAAAGAAGAATAGTTACTGAAGAACATACACGATGATGATTTTGGAGTAGTTTTAGAATTCAAATGTCCACATTTTCTGTTATGTATTTAAACATTGTTCACAGTCTTTTGGATCACTACTTTTCATGAAAAAGAATAGATATATGGATGTTCAAATATATTGATTGCAAGGATTTCTTCCATTTCTCAGAAAATCAACCTTTTCTCATAATTCTGTTTTTCCATATTTAAGTAAATTAGATTATCTAATTTACCTTAGATTGTACTGGATATATCAGTAAGCATTTTAAAAATATTTGAATGAAAAATCATTGCAGAAAAGGGAAAAGGTTTCATCTAATATCTTATTTGGCATTTCTAAATTTATTTAATTTCAAATTTATGTTTATTTAAAGAGCCCAACATAAACATAAATATCTATGTTCTTTCCCAGTTGGACTTCAATCCTAAATGCACTTGCCTAGATGAAAGTCTGAGTAACCATGTTTTGGATTATGCTGTCAGATTCTCTTGATTCGGTACTAGCACAATCCAATAAAGCTGCCTGTATCCATCCAGTTTTGGAGGAATATGGGCATCCTATGGAAGGCAGGAGCAGGGTAGCTACAAAGGCTGCATCCATATTTCTTCCGATGTGCAAAGCACTTAGATAGTCAGTTCATCTGTCTAAGAGGTTTTCTGCCCAAGAGTACAAGAAGAGGCTGAAGTACCCCAAGGACTCCACCACTGCAAATATTGGCAGTGCCTGTCTCTTCTTCATTTGTAAAATGCTTCTCTGAGGTTTTTCTTGTGATCCTGGAGTAACAGCTGGTGCCGTTCTTTCCATCCTGGCTGTGAGAGAAGAGGGAGAGCACTCTAAAGATAGATCTTCAGCTCTGACCTTGTAGTAAGTTTCCAACCTTGGAGCTGGGACTCCAAATAATCCCATGACCATCTAGACTCTGTCTAATGGCAACAGAATTGAGTGCGTAGTGATCATATTCAGTACAGTTGGATACATTTACATATAATTTTTCTGTTCAAATTATGTTAAATTGAATATTTAATACAAGCAAACATAAATTGCTTGTCTTGCCCATCTTGTTTTTAAAAGATGTCAACCAAATATAATTTGGCATCCTGTGAAAAACTAGCATTCAAAATTTTATTAATCAAAGAAAAGGCTTTTTTGTCTTTGCAGATCCAATATAAACGGTCCTGGCACTCCCCGACCTGTGAATCGACCAAAAGTTTCTTTGACACTTCCTATGACAACAAACGGTTTACCAGACAGCCCAGAAAATAAGGAGACAGGTCTTCCACAAGCAGAAGAGAAAATTAACAGGTCGGTAAGAAGGCAGAAATGTACTTGGTTGACTTTTGTGCTTCATGTGGACAATTGTAATGCTTTTTAATCCATCCACATTAGGGCAAACTCTACCTTTTCCCCAATAAAAGGTTGCATATTTAGAAAAGTACTTTCTTTCTTCTGAGCACTCAAGGCTTTTGCTCTGAACTGGAAATAATGTGTGCTTCAGTATATGCCCAGATTGCTTGAGTACATGGCTTTTCCCTTTATTTTACTAGAAGAGGCCTAGAAGACTGCTTCACTAGATCAGGACACTAGGTTGCTGTTTATAAATAAACAGTGGGTCACACTAGAGTGACCCAGGTGTTACCATTAACATCAGTGAGACTATTAGCTCAAGTCTGGAGAGGGCAAGAAAATAGGTGGAGTGTTAGCTGAAGAACTAATGCTGACTAATGAATTTCCCAGCTGAGCCAAAGTGGTGGCATAGTAGTCTTGTCACTGATTAAATTCATTCATCTGAGATTACAGCTCAGCCTACTGCGATCCCTATGAAGCTTTTTGTTGTTATCTGTCATCTGGAAAAGAGCAGTAGTTTCTTAGTCTATGGTCAAAAGTTTAATCAGCACACATTTAGGCAAAGTAAGAGATATGCCCATGAGCCAAGGAGGCTGGCACTGTAATCTACAATAGCTCTTCCTGTGTCTCGATGTGAAATTAGGAGGTTTTGTATCCATGAATTTTGTCTTCCAGTGAATCACCAGCATCGGAGCCTGAAAGAGTCCAGAGCAGTCCTGTAAAAAATAAGCATTCTGAAGAAGATGCAGCAGATGTTGAGGGGCGTGAGGTAAAAAGACTTAAATTTGACAAAGAGGAGGAACCTGAAGAAACCTCTAGCCAGAGTGGTTCCAGTGAAGCTTGTTCAGCAATGGTAGAAGAGAGCGAGTCAACTTCTGAATCTCAGGATAAAGAAAAAGAAACAATTTCAGAGAGGCAGCATTGTAAAGAGGAAGAAGAGGCGGAAGAAGGTATATTATTTTCTATCACTGTTATGTAGGAAAATGTTACTTCTAATTATGTGCTTGGGACATGATTTAACTTCAAATGTCCCATCTATCAGAAACACTGTGGATTGTGGCTAGGCTTTGTCATACTTGGAGTAGACATATTGAAATCAATGGGAACTAATTTAGTTCTAACTCAGGTCCTATTGAGTTTTAATGGGCCTTTTCTAAGTATGACATAATCTGGATTCAAACACATACATGCCTGATTTGAAAACACTTCTGTTAGACATAACTAATAGAAGTAGGAAAAAAGCAAATAAATGAGAGATACTTAAGGCACAATGCCATAAGGCTCCTTGTAATCTTCCAAACTTGGAAAAGTGGAGGTGAGGATTGCTTCCATGCTTCTCTTGCCCTCAAAACACACACACACACACACACACACACACACACACACACACACACACACAGCCCTCACAGGGAAGATTGACTGAGGTGTTGCCTGAATTTGAGAGAAGTAGGCAGTGCCTTGTCCTACACGCCCCCGCCCCTGGTGCCTGTCTCAAAGACTGACTGTGGGGCCTCAGCCTGTGCAGAAAGAACTGCTCTGGGTGAGAGTGTGGAGGGGGCCCACTGGAAGCAGGATCTTTGTTGTGAACCTGGATCTGCCTTTTCCTAAGGCTTTAGGATTGCACCCTTAGTCTTGGACTTATTAATGAGCGCATTGTACCAGATGGTCAGTTTTCATATGGACTCCATGTTAAATTCAGTGCTGAATCTGATGCTTTCAGTAACTTATCTAAAACTGCAGGTAGCTCAAATTCATGTCATATTTGAATGCTTGCTTGTGTTCTATAAAGCAGGATTGTGAATGCTTGTTTGCATATGGTGGCATTTCTGTAAATTTGAATTCACTTGCGTACCCTGTTTCTTGATTGGTAATAACCACCTTCAGCCTTAAGGCCTGTTTGAATGTATGAGCTGCAGCGTTTGATAGATTAATTGTTGTTTGTGATGGTGGGATTAGAGTTGGTCCTTCGATTAGGCAGGGAGAGGTGATCTATTGGAGATGATAACTTCTGTTGTCCAGGCTACATAATATCTTAAGTCACCTCTGATGGGGAGCCATGGGGTATATTTCTGTGTACTTCCTCTCTAATAGCAAGGAATGTATGTGCATTTTCAGTGTATAGAATAATTGTATCATGTCGATGTTGCATACGGTGCAGAATTCTTTAATGTCTCTGCTCAGACTTCTGACAGGCTTGAAGGAACGATAGAGTGGGCAATATCTAGAACTGCAAATCTATTTGTGCTGTTGATGTACTGCTAGCATTAGTTACCTTTAACTGTATGCCAACAGGGCAAGTTGGCTTGATGGAAAGCTCTTTGCACCAGCGTATTCAGTCGGCCTGCCACTAGGAAGCTGCTTTCACTTGCAGCAGGTAGTAGTGCAAGGGGGCCTGGCAGTGTTGGATGTGCTTTCATACACAGTATTCATGCAGAACTGCTTTGGACGTTCAATACTGACCTTGTTCTGAATATCTGCATTTAATGCTCAGTTCTAACTTTATTCCAGAATCCCTCATGGCACCCAGAGAAATGATTCCAGAAAGAAAAGATCAGGATAAAGACAATGTATCCTTAACTGTGAAAGAAGATATTTCTGAGGAGAATAATCAGATGGAGGAATCTGACCAGACTCAAGCAGAGAAGGACTTGCCCGCTGAAGGGAGTGAAAACAGTGGATCTGTCAGTAGCAGAGCTGACTGCAGTGACACAGAAGAGTTGGGCTCATATGTCAGTGAAATTTCTGAAACAGCATTGGAGACGCCAATGGAAAACAGTGACGAAGCCACAGAAGCTGCAGAAGAACCTATGGAACAAGACTAATAATTTAAATACACTTAGAGGCAGTATTTTCCATAAGGCTCTGGTTTTACACTGTATAAATAATTTTATGTAATAAAAGTGGACCTTTAGTTTTACAAGAGAAGCAGGCTGTAAATTGAACTTCTCAGTGCGTTAAATCCTGAAAGAGTTGTACTTGTTACTGTGAAATATCGACTCCTTCAGGTCCTGCTTACCGCTGAAATTTTGGTATGGTCAAATCAGTGGTCTGTGTATAGTTTTTTTATTTAGAATTAAAGTTTTTAAACTGGAAAGTGATTATCATTTTGACAACTTTTTGGAAATTACCACACTAAGGGTGCAATCCTATGCATGTTTAGACAGAAAAAAGACCTGGCTGGGGCATGCTGGGAATTGTAGGCCTTTTCTCCTGCTCAAGTTTGCATAGGAATGTGCCCTAAGGGTGCTATTCTATACAGATTTAGATAGCAAAAAGACTTACAAGTCCCACCATGCCCCAGCCAGCCTAACTGGGAATTGTAGGCCTGTTCCCTGTCTAAGCTTGCATAGGATTGCACCATGGCTTATTTCGCTCTCTCTTTCCCTTGGATACTATAGCAGTTATTTTCTGTTCTTGGTTACACTTTCAACATTAATATGGGAATTAGAGGGTTTCTTGTTGGTTTCCAGGTTTTCATTTTAACTGCATTGTGTGCTTTAAAAAGCAACACATTTTGACATGAAATACTTGAAAACATGCTAATCTAAAGAAAACCTTTGCTTGCACTCTTAAGACTTTTCCCCTCTAATGGAAGCAACTCAGTTCATTTCACATGAGGCAACATTTCAATTTGAATAAACCAAATAAAATTGGACCCACCTATATCCTGAATATCTGAACACTGTTGAAAGTGCCAGGTTAAATACATTCCAAGAGGTCTGTTCTTATAAAACACTTTCATACATTTCTGAGGTGCCTGAATGAAAGGTTTTCATTTTATTCCTGAGAAAATGTGCTTTTCAGTTGAGAACAGACTAGCTTCAGCTTTTTTCCAGGGGGAATGTTTGCAAACCTGACAAGACAGTTTCTCTGAACTGAGGCAGCTTCTGGCCTTAGATAATTGTTTCAAAGAAGGCAGATCAGACCAATATGAGACACTGCAGCATTACATCCTCTCTAATTAGTTTTATACCTTATTTTAATGGCTGGCTAGACATTGTAGGGGTGCATAGAAACTACCATAATTTGTACATCATTTGAAAGTGAACTAAATATCTTTTGAAACATGCTCCTTGACAGCCAGTGTTAACATTTTCTTTTTCAAAACCAGCTCAAAGCACAACTACTGCTTTAAATTCTTCACATTATATTTTTCAGACATCAACATGTAAAGACACTCAAGATGCAACCTCCCAGTCGCATTTACTGGCTGCCAAATTTATACCTGTTTCTTTAACTGTACCTTTTTGATATTTAGAATTTTTAAATTTCTGTAAAGTAGATTTTTGTAGATTGTAAAGAGTGCTCACTGCCATTGTGAAACGGTATATAATTGTATAATTTGTGTGTAAACTGGATGCTTGGGCTTTCAATACAGTATTCATATAAAGCAATAAATATTAATGTTATAAAATGTTTGAGTACATTTTAATCAAATTCAATAGGAATACCTTTATTTTTTAGGGGTGAAGTTGCATACCTTGGAGTTCAGAAATAACCACCAAAATGCATGCTAACAATTCTTTCACTGCATTGTGTGTTCATTTTGGAGAAGGGGTGGGATTTGAATTCAGTTGGTATTCCAGAATAATTTGGCAGAATTTTCTTATTTGTAAGGCGATGATAAACTGTGCTGTCTATCAGGTTCAGAGCAGACAAAAGAAGCTTTGGAAAAGTCCTGGTGCTGTATTGCATACATGGAAAAACCCATCTTTTTCAATAGTTTGCCCCTTTGCAGAGACAGCAGGAAGGTTGGTTTGCTTAAACTAATAATTATGGGGAGCACTAAAACCAAAGTATAAGGATTAGAAAACATTCCCAAAATGCAAGGCTAGAAAACTGTTTTTCTTTTCCCCCTCTCCATTGCGTTTCCTTTTTTTCAGGGATATTTTGCCAATAAGAACAAAATTTAAGTTTTAGAGATTTCTGAAATTTACTTTAGAATGTTTGTGAAAATATTGTTAATAAACCTATTCTTTAAGCATCTGTGATCTTTTGATATTTTTATTTTAACACTCAGTGACACCTAATTTCCCCCAACTTGTGAATAGTAGATTTGTGAATTTTAAATTTAATAATGCAATGCAGTGGGAGCTTGAAAAGTAAAATCTGTGTAGTCCTGCCTGCTCAGATCTCATCGAGTCCAATAGGGTTTGCTCTCAGCATAAAGGTGAGTACAGAACGGCAGTCTATTTCTACCATAGCAGTATTAAATGGTTTATTTCCATGTCAATATAATTTTAGAGAGCAATATGATGCCTATCTTTAGATATTATAGATAAGATTTGTGGGTGCAATTTAGTTGCTAGCTCCATACAAACCAACCAGCCTTAGAAAGCTTGGTCTTCATTGTTTCTGCTTGCTATGCAGTTGGAAATAACCAGAATACTGTTGTCATAACTCAGCTTTGGCATTTGTTCTACTACACTGGCTATTCCAGTTCCCTTTTGGCGGAAGAATACTGTGATGTACAGTGTCACATGCCTTAGATCAAAAGTCTCCAGCCTTTTTGGACTTGTAGACACATTTGGAAACTTGAGAAAGTGCTGTGGGCACCATCACAAAATGCTTAGTAGATCGCACTGGTCTCCCTGTGCCTATGGATCTTGCTTTTTTGGGAGGAGGTAATAACGGATAGATTTTAGTTTAATATGCACTTGAGCACTCACTGTTGCATTTTTACCTGCTTCATGGAAAGTAAAAGTGCTGAGCATAAATTATTTCTCCACCAAGCTGCAAAGGTAAATGACATCAGACCCGTGTGTTATTCTTAACTACCTCTTTGTTCATGAATGTTGAAGACACATCCAGGCTCTGGGTTTGTTCTGCCTTCTCCATCTTGATTTGGAAATGCTGGCCGGGGATGAGGGGAGTCTTAGACCAATATGTCTAGAGAGCTCTTGGCTGGGGAAGGTTGTGTCAGCCACTTTCTGTGTGGTGACGGCTTTCATTGCTTCCAAGATAGCTCTGGAACTTCACTCATCTTAATTTCTTGTTTTTTTTCTTATGCTAAGATTCTGTTTGTCAGTAAGAGAAACTACACACACCTAAATGTATCAAATAAGGTAATTTGTATTTGTTGTTTCTAGCTTTTTTTAAGTATAGAGAGCAGAAAATTTAAAATACAGAAACCAGCTTTTCAAAATAGAAAATAAAACCAACTCCTGAAAGCTGCATCCTTATCTGTCCCCTAACAACAAATCCCTCTTTTAAAAATATTTTAGTATCTTACATTCTTCATGGTCCCAGTTCAGTTAAATGGAGATCTGTACGTGTGCAGAGCAGTATCTCAAATTTTCCTGGGGCTTAAAGGTCAAGAGATGATGCATGCTCTACCCATCAAAGGAGAAGCTCCTGGAACATGTGTGCCTCAAACATCTTCCTGCTCTTTTGTAAATAATTGTTTATATTCAGCTGGCAAACAATTTGCGCCTATTTGTACCTACTACAACTGCTATCAACTCCAGTAAGTATGGCCAATGGTGAGGATAGTTGGAGTTGTATAAAGAATGGGGTGGAGGGAGAGACCATTGAAACACTTTTGAATCAGTGAGTGAAGAAGGCAAGGTAGGTGAGGGGAAAGGTTCTGAAAAGGCTGGAAAACCAAAGCGAGATAGCTGCACAAGTATTTGTATTTTTTAGATATGATTGATTTCTTCAAATCTTCCAAATAATGCTCCTAGATTCTGGCTTCTAGCTCACTGATGGAAGTCAATGATTTTTGGGTACAAAAAGATGAGAAAGCTTGTGTACTATCCCCCATTGCCTCCATTAGTGCATCTTCACCTGTGATGTGATAGACAAACTTCAACTGAAATTTGCCTTGTATGTACTTCAGTGTTGAATTCCTTTCATAGATAGTGGATTGTTTAATTTGTTGTGTGCTGTCAAGTCATCTCTGGCTTACAGCAACTCTTTGAATAAGTGTCCTCTAAAACGTGCTGTTCTCCACACCCCTTCTCAGGTCTAGTAAACTCAAAGCTGAGGCTTTCTCTGTGGAATCAACCCATCTCAGAGTGGGTCCTCTTCTACCCTTGACTTGCCGTACAGTTTGCCTTCTCATGATGTGCCCAAAATTTTCTCTGTAGCTTAGTCTTACTACGAATTGGTCTGACGGAGTAGTACAGTGTGGAATAGTTCTTTTGGTATGGCATCCATTCCAGGTTCTTTGTTCCTTTCAAGTGTCTTTAGAGCAGCTTTCATTTTCTAATATTGGAGATTCTTCCTCATACGATTCCTCTGTCTGTCATTCCTTTGTCTTTTCTGTATAGTTCTACCTGATAATGTTTCTGCCTGTTCTATATTTTCTTCTGGTCAGATAGTATGATCCCCGGTTGGGTCTTTCAGCATTCCTAATCCAGATTTGAGTTACCCTGTGATTCTTGGATCTTCTGCAAGAGGTGGCTTGTTACTCCTTTTTTGTTTTTCTGTTTCTTTACACAGGCCATTGCAATATTTCTTTTCATCTCTACATGATAGTCAGGATTCTGACTCTATTTATCTTTTGCTTTGAATTGATTTGTATAAAAGCTCTATTTCTAGCACCATTGGCTTCTGGCCTGCCCTTAGCAGTTGAGAGTATTTCTTCTGTCATTTATTTAGGCTTTCTTATTTTTGCTGCAGGATTTGTCTTTTTGCTTTCTTCCCTAAGAATGTCTCTGGTTTTATACTGCGTGGTCAGTTGAGTTCAATAGTGCAAATCTGTTCTCTGTGTGGACTTTAAATTCCGAAGCAGTATTTTGGCATTATGCTTCTGTTGGTGATCTTTTTCAGCTCTCCCCTGATTTTTGATATTAATACTTAATGGTCACTACCACAATCTGTTCTTGGGCTTGTTTTGGCAACAAGAATTCAGTTTCTCTCTCTTATTTCTTATTATGTAGTCTACTTGATTTTAGTACTGGCCATCAGACGATGTCCATGTGAACAGTCATTTAATCAGCTGCTTAAAATAAGCAATACACAGATGGCTGGCTTCTGAGTCATTGTCCTGCTTTGTTTCTGACTCCTAAGCCAAATTCTACCACAACTTTTGACTCTACATGGTTTTCTATTTGTGTCTTTCAGTCACCTATGGTTATCAGCATGTCTTTGTGTGTATGTGATAATTTTCCTTCTGCGCATTTCCATATTTTTTATTTCTTCTGCATCTGTTGCTGGAATGCAGACCTGAATACTGATTATGTTGATAGGTATAATTTGTTTTGAGTTTGGATCCTAGTTTCTTACTAGTTGTGCTACATCTTGTCTCAGTATTCAAGTCACTCCATTTCTTCTAAGTTTGTAATTTACAGTCAGTCACTTTGACTGAAAATATCCCATTCCAATCCACCTGAGTTCACTCATGCCAAGTACTGTGGTATTTATATTTAACTATTTCATTTCTTGCTTTATGGTTTCCAGTTTTGCTTGATTCATACATCTCATGTTCCATCTTCCAGTTGCATGTGTCATGCACATCGGACTTTTCCTCTCTGCATGTCAGCCACTGGATTTCCTTTCAATGTGATCTAGTTGCATTGTTAGAAACAGCATAATTTGCACTTGTCCTTTGCTGTTCCCCAGTAGGTCATTGAGTGTCTTCTGACATGGGGATCTCATCTTCTGGCACTATCTGTTGTTTCATTTTGGATCATTTTTTCAAAGGTTTTTCAAGATAAGAAAATTCAGAAGTGGTTCACCATTGCTGCCTCTTGCACAGTATTAATCAGGGTTAGCTTGAGCTTCACTACCATTGTCTGTGAAAGTTCCTCTGCCAGGGTCACCTTCAGCTACTGCTGCTGCCCAGTAGCTGCCCTTCAGAGGTTTCTCTGCCCCCATCCCCACTGGAGCTGTGCGTTGTCTTCTGCTGGTGTGACCCTTATTCCTGAAGAGGGTGGATGCATCTTAGTCTAGTCTCAGCTTTGACCATCCCACCTTGGGTGTACCTGCTAGGAGACCAGCCTAGTGAGACAGTCTGGCCTCCTGGTGGCATTGCCCTTAGCTTCTCTGACACTCTCGGACTCCCTCACCATGTTAAAGGTGTACAGCCAAGAGGGGAATTGTTTAATTTGTGGTGGTGGTGGTAGTGGGGTTAAGAAGATAACTGGATTATTCTTTCATACTGTTAAAACTTGCAGCGATATTTCCTCAATACGGCCACATGTCTCTTCCCTCACTTGCCCTTCCAGCACTATTCTGTGTTTACAAGTAGGACCTACAGGTAAGTGTTGCAAAGGAGCCCCAAACCTGTACCCCAGTGAAGGAGAATTCTTGTCCTTCAGTCAAGCCAGGAAGATGGGGAGAAGTCTCTCTCATCTGAGGCGAGGCTCCAAGGAGTTGTCCCCTCCTCTACTCGCTTGCTAACCCGCCAGAGATACCTGGGGTCTTCCACATGAACTTCCTGTTGCCAAAATTGGCAAAAACAGGGAAAAGTGTCAATCCCAGCAGGATTATTTACTGGGTTTAAAACAAAAGCCTTTTACTAAAGATTTCAGATGGTGTGTGTTGTTAGACAGTTTTCTTGAGTCTCAATCAACCTGTTCCGTACAAAAGTTCTGCACGCAATTCAGATTGGCTTGCTTTGCCCTCTAGTGGGAACTGAGGTGCCTTGTAGCCTGAAAGGTGCTTTGCTTTGCCATTTTTGGTTCTGCAGATGTTTTTAGTCAGCAGTAAGTTTTGAAATCCTGACAGAGCCGTCAAAACAATATAATTCAGGAGACTTAAAAGTAACCACAATAGAAGAGTCATGGAAATTATTCAAGTTTGAGTGCAAATGCTTGACAATTAAGGGAGCCAAAATATTTTGAAAGGAGAGTGGGAGAAAAAAAGTACTCTCGCTATATACATAGCGGTATATTAGTTGGGAAAAACAAGATGGGATAAAATGAAGACCCTCAGATATGAAATATTTCTGGATGGAAAAACCACAAATGTTTGGAAAGTGAGGCAGAGAAAAGAATCTCAGCAAACAGTGTCAAGTGATGAACAAACAATCCGCACTTC